GATGAAGGTTTACAGAACAAATAGTTTCTCATTAAACAGTCAGTACACATATTGTTTTATGACATTGGTTAACAACCCCACGACATGTCCACACTCTCCCTTCTCGACCTTTTTTTTGTGTGAAAATATATATAGCCAAAGATACACCATTTCAAAAATTTCTACATGCACAATTCACAGACATCGATTACGTTCTTCCAGTTGTGCTGCTATTCTCACTTTAGATGAAGGTTTACAGAACAAAATAGTTTCTCGTACACATGTTGCCCTATGACAATGTAACAACCCCACTACACGTCAACGCTGTACTTACTCAAACTTGGGTTCCCTATCACCAGCTTTCCTGTCCCCTTCTGCCTTCTAGTCCTTGTCCCTGGATTGCTGTGCCTCATTAGTCCCGTTCTGTTTTATGGGGCTGTCCAATCCCTGGCTGAACGGTGAACCTCGGAAGTGATTTCACCACTGAACTAAAAGGGTGTCTGGGGGCCATACTCTTGGGGTTTCTCTGGTCTCTTTCAGCCAGTAAATCTGGTCTTTTTTTTGTGTGTTAGAATTTTGTTCTACATCCTTCTACAGCTCTGTCCAGAACCCTCCGTTGTGATCCCGGTCAGAGCAGTCAGTGGTGGTAGCCGGGCACCATCTAGCTATACTGGACTCAATCTGGTGAAGGCTTTGGTACCTGTGGTCCATTAGTCCTTTGGACTAATCTTTTCCTTGTATCCTGTTCTCTTCATTCTCCCTTGCTCCTGAAGGGGTGAGACCAGTGGAGTATCTTAGATGGCTGCTCACAGGCTTTTAAGACTCCAGATGCTACTCACCAAGGTAGAATGTAGAACATTGTCTTTATAAAGTGCTTTATGCAAGGCTATAAATTTTTATGGACGAAGACTCCCACATTCTTCTCCCACGGAGCAGCTGGTGGGTTTAAACTGCTGACTTTTTGGTTAGTGGCTGAGGCACAGTCACATGTCCAAGAACACAGAGCTAATAAGTGGTAAACTCAAGCTTGACTCACTGCAAAGGTTATACTTACTCTAGCATGCCAGGCACTAGCTGTATAAGGAAGGCTGCTACACACGATTTCAAGGGCTCTTGGGCTCTGACAAATCATCTGCCACCCTAAAGTCTCACAGGTTTGGAGTGAGATCTCCAAGGTTCAAGTTCCAGCTCTACCATTTCTTAGCTGTGGGACCACAGGCCAATTACTTAACTTCCCTGAGATTTGATTTCCTCATTCGTAAAAGTAAGGCTTTTCTGAGACTCAGGCTCCTCACTGATAAAATGGTGTTAATACTAGTTATCAACCTCATAAGGTTATTGTAATGATTTAAATAAATATATCTGGCACATAGTAAGTGCACAATAAATGTGAGCACTTATGTCTATTATTATTCTACTCTTCTGAGCTCTGAGACATGCTGGCAAAGAGGGAGAGGTGGAGGGTATCTTTTAAGCAGCCTTCCATAGCAACTTCAGCTACTGAGAACACTGACAATCTCCTCTACTATAGTAGGTTAGCCAACGTTCCCAGCTATGTTTGTTTTCCTTGTATCTTCAGGTGTTTCCCGGAAGACACATCCGTCCCTTTAAAAATTTAAGGAGAAAATTACTGCTCTCAGAATTCAAGGCCCTTTTTAGACATTTAAGCCCAGTATGCATGGTTCAACTCTAACGGGGAAAAGATCTCATGATATGGAAGCCGGACCTGGGGCTGGTGTGAGGATGACAACCCACCAATGGTGAAGAGTCACCAATGCCAGATTACAACAACCCACTTATTATCTCCCAAGCACCAGGCACCATGCCAGGGCTTTGGATATTTATGTCCTTAGGACCTTACAGCAACCCCGCAAGACCGGTGGTTTTCAGAGCAGGAAACCAGCTCAGAGAAGTGGTCCCTCTGGGTCAGTGCTGGGATTTGTCCCCTGGTCTGACTGTGAAGCCCCTGTTCTTCCCTCTGCACCACAGGTCTCCGGACACTCCTATGCCTCCAGTGAGGGACCAGATCTCAGCACACTATCTGCTGAACTGTAAACTAGATTCAAATCATCATTTGGGGCAGTTGCAGAATCTACTGGTGTTTCTAAAAAAACGGATTTGTCTAATACCCACACTAATGAATTTTCATCTGCTTGTTTTACAGAATGTTTGATATTCTGGTTTACCTGTGTGACATTATGAAGTATGTCACTAAAGCGATATTTAAAGATCTGGCTTGTTTGGAAAAAAAAGAATGTCACCTGTCTTAAGTTGGTAGAACTCTTTCCATCTCACTTTCCCCTCCGGCTATCACCTTCATTCTCTTTTCCCTCTGCCAAGTCTTCTGAAAGAGCTGTTTATACTTGCTTCTCCATTTTCTTGCTTTCCAATCACTTTGCAACCCCCTCAACCCCCTCAACCCCCTCAACACACACACACACACACACACACACACACACACACACACACACACACACACACACACACACACACACACACACACACACCCTCTTTCCAAGGTCACTGGTGGCTTCCATGCATCTAAATTTAATGTATAAACTGGATGCCTGTTGGGCATCTGACAGACTGACTTACTTCTTCCTTCTTCAAATTCTCCTAGTTTTTGGCTTTCAGCATGCTAAGCTTTTGATTTTTCTCCTTCTCTGGTTGCTCCTAATCAGTGTCTTTTGCTGTCTCCTGTTTTATCCCACCATTAAATGTTGACATTCCAGAGGGCTAAATCCTAGACTCTTTAACTCTTCTCTCTCTAAACTCTCTTAGGGATCTCATTCCATTTCCAACTTCAATTACCACCTGTGTATTCTTGAACATGTGACTGTGCCTTTAATTTCATTAAAATATATGGAACTACCAATGTTCAACAGTTCCTGACCTACAAAAACGGCAATTTTGTATAGTTCAACCTAACATATGATGGAAACACAAATTTTTCTAATCCACACTCTTGTTTGAGCTCCAGACCTCCTGATGGTCAATTGTCTTTCTTCGTTATAAATATATATATAACATTTGCCAATTCCACATTTTTCGGGTATGTAATTTAGTGTTATCAATTACATTAACTAATTGCCTCTTTAACATCTCTACTTAGATGCCTCATGGTCATCTCAAAGTCAATGTGACCAACTCTGGTCATCCTCCTAACTGCATAAGCCTAAACCTAGGCACCATCCTTGACTGCTTCTTTTCCCTCATCTCCCACATTTGATGGCCAAGTCCTGACAACTCTACTTCCTATATACCTCTTGAATCCCTCTACTCTGTCCATCTCCTCCACTGCTACCTTAGTCTAAGCTATCATGTAGAGTATCTGAACCACACTATAGCCTCAAGCCCGGTCTCTCTTCACTATCCTTCCATGCCATTCCAAACCATTCTCCACAATGTAATTATTTATCAGTAATGCTTAAACTGTCAATGGTTTCCCATGCCATGACTGGACACTTGCTCATCTACCTGGCCTCATTTTGCTCCACACTATGCCCTTTGCCCTCCGGGAGGCCTTCCTTGATCACTGTTCCTCCCATTTTCCATTATCTCCCTTATTTTATATGCCCACAGTACCCCATTTGTCTCCTTTTCTAAGGCTTGTCACACTTGTGATTATCTGCTCAATGTCTGTTTTCTCTGTTAGACTCTAAGGTCCATGAGAACAAGGACAATACCTGTCTTGTTTACTACCTTATATACACTGCCTGGCACATATTAGGAAAGAGATCAACAAATACTTGATGGCTATATATTAATTTAGTAAGACTTGAAAACCTGTCCTATGTATAGGAGTTGAAGAAACTGGGTGACCAGCATGTGGCAGAGAAAGTAGACCTGCTCTGTGTGGAAGGCAAGGCCCTAAGTAGGGGGAGAAAGTAACAGGGTGAGGCAGAGGAGGGTTCCAATAACCCAAAGGGGATGCTGAGTGTCCTGGGGGCTGGAAGGATTTGGCTGCCTGTGATGATTAAAGTTATGCGTCAGCTTGGCTGGGCATGATTCTCAGTGATTTGGCAGACATCATGTAATCATCCCCCATTTTGTGATCTGATGTGAGCAGCCAATCAATTAAAAGGGGACTTTCTTTGGGGGTGTGGCCTGTATCCAAATATATATGGATATTCTGGCAAAG